AAAATATAGAAAAAATATACTAAAAATATAATATATGTTAAATAATACTAAGAAATAATAACTAACTATAATATGTGAATAAAATATAATAATAATAATCAAGAAAAAGAAGAAAAAGGAAATTCTATTACAACTAAAATATATACATCAAGTTAGTTGAGAATAATAATATTTCAGTAAAATAATTAAATTAAAGTTATTAATTAATGATCAAAAATAATAATAATATGTTAGATTAAAGACAAAATATATAAAAAAAATAAAAAAAAATAGAATAATGTTTATTTTTCATAAAAAAAGATACCTTTATACTTCTAATCGTTCTTTTTTCTAAGGAATAAATGAACTTGATTTGATATTTATTATGAAATATTCTGACGATTCTCATCTCTTTATGGACTAGTTTAATACAGATAATCTTTCTATATATAATTCTTATACAAATCCTCATAAAGACCCTTGTTATAACGAATCTGATATCTTAGAAACTGACGATCTATCTAATGCTACTAGCAATAAACCTTCTATACTTAAAGCATTTGTATAGAAATCTTTTAAAAAAGAAAAAGAAGGTCCTTATACTAAGTGTGATCTTTGTAATCCTAAAAAACTAATAAAATGTGAAAACAGTTCAACATCAAGTCTTAGAAAACACCTTGCAATACACAAAGGAAAAGTTCCTGAATTAGCTAAAGGAAAATCAAAATCACAGTTGTAGATATACTAAATAGCCAATTATCTATTAATAATCACTCTCATAAACCTTTTGATTTAGCATATTTTAAAAATATGATTGTACAATGGATTGTTAAACGTAATAGATCATTTAATATTATAGAAGACAATAAACTTAAAGAAATATTTTCTTATTTAGAACCTTAGGCAATTGCACCATCTGCAAATCTGGTAAAAAGATATATTATGAGTAACTTTGAAGAAGAACGTAATAAACTTTATGAAAAATTACAAGAAGTTCCTGAAAAATTCTCTATAACAACCGATATTTGGACAACAGATGACAAATCATTTATGGCAATTACTCTTCACTATTTAGATTCGTCTTGAAATTTAAAATCTATTCTGCTAGATTTTATAAGTATAGATGAACTACATACTGGTTCTGAAATTGCCAATAACATAAAAGATTGTCTTTAATCAATAGGACTCTTATCAAAACT